AAAAGAGAGCTTGGGAGAGAATAGAGTTCTAAGGGGGTTTCTTTGTAAACCAAAGTTGTAACTTATTCTTTCATTAGTGAATTTCTCAAGAGGATCACCAAGAGGATGTAGGCAATTGCTGAACCTCTAAAATACTTGTGTCACTTTGTGCTTGGTTGGTTTCTCTAGAGTGTGTGTGTGTGATTCATCCATCCTTGTGTGTGTCACAAAGTCCATCAACAACAAGATCATTAGGGGAGTGAGTGAAAGTGTTTGTCCATTTTCACAACAATAGGTTCACCCCTGTTCGCTATGATCACATTCTCCAAATTCAAACTAGTTAAAGACTTTGCATTAAGAGGGGGCGAGAGTAAATCAACGCCAACGAACGGCCATATATCGCTGAAGCTGATATCTAACTCTTTGACTCTTCTTTCAACTGCAAAACCCAACCACTTGTCCAGTTTATATTCGTCTTCATCTGAACGGAACCTCATGTGAAGCCTGAATTTGTCTAAGTGCTCGTATTTCTCATGAATTTCCAAACACCTGTCCACAAAATTGATGAACTTTGCATGTGGCTCGTCCGCCTCCTCTTCGAAATCTAGTACTGGGACTGAAGACCACAGCCCTGCCCATTGCTTGCAAAGAGAGCTCATGCGGATGGCATGTTTTGTGGGAAGGAATTGGAGGACATGGTGGATAACAAGGACAGGTAAGTGAGGTATTCTGGCGGTGGCCATGGAGTTTTGCTTTCCCTTCAGATTATTCTTGTTTGTGTTTGGGTGATTTGGGATTTTTCTGGTAGCCATAATCGATTTCTTGTAGGGATTGTTAACCTAATTTTCTTATGGCTTTATATACATGGGTGATCATATATAGCCTCTCATCAATCAGGGAATTAATTAATTATAACAATTCTAGAATCACTAGGAATCCTTCTAAGGTAAGAAATCAATTAAGGAGGGTATATTCAATTGAGATTTTAAAAGACTATTTGGGGATAAAAAAGTTCTAGTGGATTTAAACAGAATATAATGACTTATAAGATTTTATTTATGAATTTATATAATAAATATTTTTTACTTAAGGATTTTAAAGATTTCTATAATAGGATTTGGAGGATATGGTAGATAATGAGGCCGGGTAAGTAATTATAAGGTCTTGTTGAGGCTTTTGTCTCCACAATATTTTTTTTTTTCCGCAGCCTTGTGTTTGTGTTTGGCTTGTTGTGGCTGCGTGCTCCCCCCTTGTAAACCATTGTGAATGAATGACGATATTGGAGAGAAGAGATAGAGGAGGTCTTATTTATAAGGCTAGAATCCTTGTAGGAGTACGAAACCTGTTTTTTTTTTTTTTTTTTTTGAAAAATAATATCGTAGTAGGAGTCAGAAATTTTTATCAAATTTACTCAAATAATATCTTTTATGATTTACTTCCAAGTTTCCGTTTTATTAATTTATTGTACAAATGACTCTTTCACGACACATCTGCCTATTTGAAAAGGTCAATGCTTAAACCTCGTACAAAGTTGTTGACAAAACATACCCAAGTCAAACACAACTATCCATTTTTATTTAATTATCCATTTACTATTCCTCGAAATATCAGCAGAATCCCAAGATATTCTCTACAAATTTCCAGAAAAATCTTATCGAAAAAGGTAAGTTTTGGCGCTTTCTTCCTTGGCAATCGATCATTACCTTCTGCTTATTCCTCTTCGCCACTTTCTTCCTTACTTTGGTCTCTTTCTCTCCTATTGCTTCTTCCTCTTCTCCAGTTCCTATTTATAGATAGTTGGGTACCAAAATGAAATTAACCCCCATACTTTTTCTTTTTGAAGTGGTAAACCATCTCAAACATAAAAAATTTAGACATTAAATCAATTTAGAAGAGAAGTGTTCTTTGTTTTTCAACAAATGTTTGGTCATGGTATTTGAAGAGTTTCTCCAACAAAGACGAGATGTCATTGGACTGCATGGTCATGTTAATTACTTGGTAAAATGCTTCCCTCCACCACATAGTGATTGAAATATCATAAAACAAAGAAATTAATGAGTTCAACCAAACACAAACTTACTGGGTTTGTGTGAAACCCCATATTTTAAAAAATATATATATATGTACACTAATATTTCATGGAAATTAAATATTTAAAATTAATAGTTTTAATACTATATATATATATATATATATATATATAGAGGGGACGGATCCGTGGCACCATATTTTTGACACAAGTTTTGACACAATTTTTGGGCCATTAGATTACTCCACTTTTAATGGTTGAGATTAAATCTGACATAGCAAAACAATATTTTTTCTTTAATTAATATTTATACATTGGAATTAAAATTCTGATACCATATTAATTAAGAATTCATTCTCTCTCATCTCATTAATTATCTTTAATTAATTAATTCTCTCTCTTTCTTCTAGGAATTGACGCCTCCTCCTCTGCCTATGCTTCTTCTTTCTCTCTCTCATCCCATTCTCATCCCACCCTCACCACCACCACTCCAACCCCTTACCCTCCAAATTTATGGGATACAAATCCCCTTCGGTTCTTACACCAACAAGATGGTAACGAAAAGGCCATGTGTTCTGCTGGAACAGAGGGCGATTCTGATGAACCCTCAAGCATGTGTGGCAATTTTTGATATTATAGCTGGTGACCATATCTAAACACGCGTATACACATGGCTCTTGAAATGAAAGATATACAAGAACCCAAAATTCAGACGGCGAGCTACTCTCTGAGCTTCTTCCAAATCTTTCAAGAACCTGTTTTTCCCAGCCAAACAATAATTGGAGCGGAGCATCTCATATTAAACAATTTCAATAAGCTACAGTAATTCACTAGAATAGCCTCAAACAATTACAACATATAACTGAAAACCTCTAACAGTCGATGCAATTGTCCAGGATTGATCAGGTTACTGGATATGCTTAATTATCATGTTCTCAAGAAGAGAGAGAGAGAGATTACGTTTCCAAGAAAAAAGGGAGGAGAGAGAAAATAATTTTATTTTATTTTTATGAGAGAGAAAATAAAATTAATGATTGTTTATTTAAAAAATTAAAACTATTTCCCATGTCATATTTAATCTCAACCATTAAAAGTGGAGTAATTTAATGGCCCAAAAATTGTGTCGAAACTTGTGTCAAATCTATAAATCCTAGGATGTAGTCTAGAAATCCCTAGGTTAGTTATGTGGCACAATGTTAAAGCTTCATCCATATTTTCTTTACCGACTCTAACTACTATAAATAGTCATACCTAATAGTTATTGGATCATAAGTTCTTCAAGTTATAGTAGTTTCCTAAAAAAAATCGTAGACAAAAGAAAGTAAGAGCACTAAGTGTGGGGAGGTTTTGAAGAAGTTCAAAGTATTTGAGCTTACAACTGGGAGTTATACAATAGCTTTGGATTTGAGGTAGGGGTTCTTTCTTGGGGAGGTTTTGCATAAATTGATTTAATTAAATATTGTGAACACTATATTATGCTTGGTAATATTGTTTGATTATTATCCTTGATATTGGGTGTTTACATGATTGTCAATTATCATTATAATTTGATTAATATTGACATGTTCATATGTTGTCAGTGGTGTTCGAAATTCTTGGGTTAACAAAGAAATTATGGAAAAGAGAGTAATGGGAAGGTTCTTTTGTGTAGTTGAGTCTGACCATTCTAGGGACCAAGTTCAGGCAAGCTCGTGTGCACAGTAGATTAGGAAATCGGCGGTATAATTGTCGATTGGGTGATTTGAGTTTGGAGATCAATGGTATGGACAAGATGACTAGCAAAAGGGGAATTATGGGATGATTGAAATGGGTGTTAGTTTATATAATGGGGCATTCAGAATCACAGTGGTAAAATGCATGGTATGGGACATGCAGATTGGCTTGCCCTATTATATAGATTAACGGGTTGGGTAGAATTGAAGTTCATTCATACACTACATAATTTGTACATTAAAAATCTCACTAATCATATAGGGCCCCTACTGAGCATGTAATGCTCACCCCTTAATGAATTTATTGCAGGTTCTGAATCTGAAGTTTAGTTGTGACAAGAAAACAAGAAGAAAGTGTTGCAGATAGTTTTAGATGTTTTGTTAAAAGTCTGTATTTTTATGTTATTTTGCTTGTAAAATCACAATGTAAATTACTCTGGTTTAAATAGAAGTTTTATGTTTAATTCTCATGTTTCTTGCTATTTAAATTTTTAATTTTTTTAATTTAGTTTTTCTTTTACCTCACACTCTCAATAAATAAGTAAATAAATTGGGGTGTGACCAGTTGGTATCAGAGCATTAGGTATACAATCCTACAGAATAGACGTTATCATTTAAGTTATTTTTAGTTTATAAATTAAGATTTAGAAGTATAAAAACTTTTGAGTTTCTAATATACATTCATTTGTATTTTAGATACTAATATTTTGGTCATGACAGATTCTATGGAGTCAATAGAAAGTGACGATACTTTTGGAGGTTTCCAGAAATTAAGATTTAGAAGTATAAAAACTTTTGAGTTTCTAATATACATTCATTTGTATTTTAGATACTAATATTTTGGTCATAACAGATTCTATGGAGTCAATAGAAAGTGACGATACTTTTGGAGGTTTCCATGTATGCCTAGAAGGACTGTTACCATTAAACATAGAAAACTATAACAACAACCTGAGGCATGGCTCAAAATTTTGTATGAAAGAAAAGATAAGGAGTACTGCCATAAGGAGACATCGTTACCCTCTCTCAATGCAGCGACAAGTAGCGATGCATAGTATTTGGTCAAGGAGAGAATTCTGGGATGGTGCCTATGAGAACATACAGAATGACAATATTTATAATGCTGCAATAGTAGAACTTTTAGAGGAAAGTGGTAATCAGTGGCCACCATGTAATTACCAACCACAACGAGTCCCAAACCCTCCAAGTGATAATGAAGATTTTGCTCAGGAACCTACTCATGAGCCTACTTGGGAGCCTACTGAGTCAATTGGATCAATCACTAGGCCTATAGAGGTTCAGTCACCATCCGAAGTGATTATTATCAGTTCGGATGAAGAAAACTAGTACTGAAGAAGGAGAGTTGTATAAATGTTTATAGTTGCAGAAATAAAACCATCAGGTTATGTAAGATAAGTTTAAGTTTTTGTAAAATTGTGTGTGTTTTTGTAAAATTTTGTGAAATATAATAAATGAGTGTTTTGTTTAACCAAGGGTATTTTCTGGCATTTTGAATGTTTCACCATTCTCTATCTTTTACTTTATATATACTAGCCTCTTGCCACACGCTCACGCGCGTGCCAATTGGTTTTCTTTTTTTAGCTTTTAGAATTAAGAAAAGAAAAAATGGGTAGTTATATTCCATAAAAGTAGGATCCATTATCTGATTTTGTTTTTAATTTTAATTTTTTTAATTGTGAATTTACCATATTATCCTCATTTAATTAATAATTTCAATTCTTAATGTTTGAATTAACCAAGGGCATTTTCTGGTATTTTGAATGTTTCACCATTCTCTGCCTTTTGCTTTATATATATAGATATATAGATATCAGTCCCGATCTCTTGGACCACAGGAGTCCAAGAAATTGTGGTCACCCACCGTTGGATATTAATCCAATGGTTCAAAAAAGTTTCTTAAAAGGAGTGCAAGAGTGAGTGAACCGTTGAATTTGCATCCAACGGTGAGTGACCACAAATCTCTTGGACCCCTGTAGTCCAAGAGATCGGGACTGATATAGATATATAGATTAATCAGAAAGGTTTTCTGCTCTATACTATATATATCTAT